ATCCTCCCTAGACGTTGCCTTTCTTGCACATCATGCAGGGGGATATGCTGTTGCCCTTATCTGGTCTGTCCACCTCATGGGCGTACTTTCGCGCACCACATTTCAAGCACGTCCTTTGAAGCGAACAGTTTTCCCACTAATTTAGATATAACAAAAAGTTAAATCTTAAGAGACAGTTCTTCTAATTTGTTTTTTTTTGTCAGTTGCTATTTGTGTCAAATATCTTTTGAGAAGATAAATATATGCATCCGGAAAGCTATACATAAGTGGGCGGGTTGGAAAAGACAATAAGGTTCCGCAAAGATATTTTAAATAATTACAAAATTATAAATATCATTTATAAATAGGATTAAATAAATAATAATAATAACATTACTGTTCTTTTGTAATAGTGTGTATTTAAAGTTTTCGGCATAGTGAATATCCTGGTCATAGTACCACCACCGCTCTCCTTAAAGTGACTGGCGATATTAGAACCGGCATGGAGGAATCAAGGGTTACAGTTATGGTCCTTATTGATTTTTCTAACGCCTTTAATACCGTCAGTCACGATATCCTTTTAGTCCCAGTCAGATAATAGTACCAATCGAGCCGAGGTCCGGCCCTCTCAGGCACCCTCGAATCGGAATGCTAAACGCGTGTTGAGTGACAGCCCAAGCCGAGGTCCCCTCTCAGGGATCCTTGAGAATGATCACTCCATGGAGCGCCCGCTAAAGCGCCCTAAGAGCTTGGCGGCCTCCCAAGCCGGTGATAATAATAGACGGCCCGAGCCGAGGCTCCCCCGGGAGCCGTCGAGCTTAGTCACCATAACGCGTAATAATAATACGCCGAGGTTCAGGCTAGGCGTCGTGCGCCAGGCCAACTCAAGGCCGTCGGAACTGTAAGGCCCCTAAGGCCAAAACTGGCTCATCCAGCCCAAAAAAAAAATTAAAAAAAAATCCTTTTAGCCATCCTTTCTTACATAATGATTTCTGATGAAGCACTGGAGTGGTTCTCCTCCTATCTTCGAGGGCGCCAGCAGTCGGTCAATATTGGCGATTCATCATCAAGTCGGCTTTGTCTGAAGAATGGCTCTCAAGGCGGTATTCTCTCCCCTCAGTTATTTTCTGTTTTTATAAACTTCATCACTCATAATCTTCGCTGTGCGTATCACCTTTATGCCGATGACTTGCAGCTATATGCTCAGGCATCCATCGATACTCTTGATGAGGCCATTCTTAAGGTAAATGAAGATTTAGTTGTCATTAAGACCTGGTCAGATAACTTTGGATTAACCGTAAATCCGCCCAAATGTCAAGCCATGGTAGTTGGGTGTTCCCGCACTCTTAGTAGAGTAAATCTAGTTAACCTTCTTACAATTGTTTTTGACAGCTGCCCCATTCCCCTTCAAAATAAGGTTAAAAATTTAGGTTTGCTCATTGACGGGACGTTTTGTTGGAGAGATCAAATAGCTAGTGTCAGCCAAAGAGTAACTAGTGTCTTGCGCTGTCTTTACAGACTTAAAAATTTCCTGCCGATAAAAACTAAAGTAACGCTCGTACATGCCTTAATTTCTCCTTTAATCGACTATGGTGACGTGAGCTACTTTGACCTGAATGCAGATCACCTCAACAAATTAGACCGACTTCTGAATAACTGCATTCGATTCGTCTTCAATCTCCGCAAATATCACCATGTATCGTCGTATCGGTCACAACTAAATTGGCTAACCATTCGAAAACGACGCTCCGTAAGAGCCCTGACCACACTTTTTTTTTACCTTAATTCCCCATTTACTCCCTCATATTTATCTCCTCACGTCCAATACCTTAGCACAGTCAACACGAAGAATCTTCGCTCTAAACATAATTGTCTTCTGTTATGTCCTCCTCATCGATCTGATTTTATCCATTCCTCTTTCTTTGTCCAATCTATCCTTCTTTGGAATGAGCTCCCTCTCAAAATTAGAATGGCCAAGAATCGCTTTGCTTTTAAGAAAATGGCACGCAAGTACATTCAGGGGAAATTGCCAGCAGTTTCATGACATCATCAGATATAAATGTGTATGTATATGTATATGTATATAATAATATGTTTATTTATATACGTATATTAAAGTATATATGTATATGTAAAGTTATACTTATTGTATCGTTTAAAAGTATTGTATGCTTGAATTATATTGTGTTTTATATTTTTATATTATATAATATATTATATTAATAATTATGTATTTTTTTTAGTTTATAACTGAGTATGTACACCTACCTCAATTTCTCAGTAAGATCCTAAGGTTGACTGGTAGAAAATGCTGTAAGCATTAAGTCCGCCTATGTACTGTTTTGTGCATGAAGTTTAAAAATAAATAAATAAATAAATAAATATCGTCAATGACTTCATCTCCTCCGGTGAAGGTGATTCAAAATAGTGTGAGAAGAAATGGGTAAATTTTTTAGGCATTTTAATCACAACTGTCTGACGTAATATCGACAAACTTTTCCCTGCTGTAGGAACTGAAACCACGACTTTCGGATTAATTGATTTTTTGTGTAAAGAACATAACAATAGAATTCAATAGATGCCCCAAGCGTTGTTTACAATGCGAAGATATTTTTGAGAATACGTTCAGATTTTCGTGATTAAAGTATTTAGGCCCGAATCCGGCAGACGAGAGCGTGATTCCCGGAGCGGAAAAATTTTCATCCATTTTTCAACATATTTTAAAGTTTCATCTTATGATGAGCACTATAAAATCTAAATATAAACATTTAAATTATAAAGCAAATGTTATTAGAAAAGAGAAGCATACTTTAATTTAACAGTTAAAGTAATGGATGTAGGTAAGTGATTTTCTTTAAAAAAATTTAAAAGAAAAATTAGATTCTCTTATTCCTATTTAAATTGCAGGCTTTTATTTATAATCATTTCCTATGGAATTCTATAAACTAAAATGGATTTAGTAAGTGTACCGTGACCTTGGAAGTTAGAAATTCCTGCACTAAGCTATGGAAAATTGTTTTTGTAGTGCTGTGTACATATTTCGATAACAACTCTTTTGTTTTGGTTATTGCTCCAATAATAATAAAAATCATACAGAAAAAAATGTGAAAAAATACAATAGATTTCATTATTTACACGAAGTTCAGAATGTCAGACATCTCAGTGCGGCCCATGGTCATAACGCTGTAAAGAATTCGAAACATTACTGGTATTTTAAAATTAAAATAAACTCCAAAAAAAATCCGTAAATTACTTTTATTAAAACGTGTAAACATAAACAAAATTTCAATTAACAGCCTAGAAACAAAGCTCGTCTACGTTATAATATTAAAGCTGAAGGGTTTTACGGCCTACTTATACTTTCTAATATATTTAAAATTCTCTTCTACATTTTATGCCTAAAAATGTAACAATTACTTTCTTAGGTACTTTATAATAGAAGTGCTATTTAACTTACATACATTAGTAACATAATAATTATATAAGATAGCATAAGAGAATTCTTTTGGGGTCTTGTGATGGGATTGCTATTATGCTTTCTTTCCAGAACGTGTTTTCAACAATGCACATTATTTATAACTATCGAAGTAGTTGTGAATTGTATTCAGTTTACGTATATTTCGAGAGAACAATGTTAAAATATGCAGACATACAGTTTTCTTTTTGAAAACATATTTATTTCTTTCTCTTTCTATAAAAGCAAATACCTTTTTCCATATTCTAATGCGATACTGTAGGTAAACCGTAGAGATAAGATATTTTTGAGTTGCATTCATTTTGTATAACATTTCGCCCAATTTATGATTTACAAAACGTATACTTACACATTTATATATTGTATACCTTTTTGACTGAATTACTACTTTTAATGACTATTTCAAGAATCAAAAATTAAAACTGTGATAAATATTGATATGGATGTTAAGTTTCTAAACCTTTAGAAATATAAATTACTATATCAATTCTCGTCCACGAGTATTTTATCTATATTGGTAAATTGTATCTAAAATTATTTAATAATTAGTTAGCATAATTTAACACGAGTTTAGAATCAACGACTTTATCATTTATGTATGAATTGTAACAGTATTCATGCTACGAGTAAACAAGATACAAAAGAAATTAAAATAAATGAACAGATGAAGTACCTAAATTCATTTCTGGGCCGAGTATAACCAGACAACAAGCCTCTATACCGAATACACGCTCATAATTAGTAATCATTTATGAAACTTGGGAAATAAATATTTAGCGACTTTTAATAATATCTTTCTATCTTGTAAAATACTTATTTGACGGAAATTCTTTGGAAGTCCGGCCAAACGCTGTATTTAAAAATTGTAGTTATATTTTCAATAACATATTTAATTGTATATTTTTAAATAAAAATTAAAATTAAGTAGTAAATTTCACTTTGCCTTCCGTCTACCTCTTAAAAATATTATTTAGGTGCATTATTGACAATGACTTAGTCAATCGGATTATTTAATAGATGTAAATGTAAGAGCATTAGGTAATATACCTATATAACTTATAACAAAATATAGTGAAATAATTGGGTATCAAAGGGATTTAAAATTAAAGTTATGAATCGAAATCTTAAAAATTTTTTGGCACATTGTTCTGTGTAAATAAAATGTAACGTACGTACCTACTATTTAAATATATTCGATTAGACAATTAACCGTAGATCCAAATTTGATATGATGTCTTCAAAAGTTGATATTACAGTAAAACATTTAAACAATCAATTAAATTTATAAATGATATGCTCAGCGGAACTCTATTCTATTATACATCTATGATTAATCTTATTTTAGTGCGCATTTATTCTTCCTAGATAAGTTGAAAACATTTTTTATTGCGTCTAACATAATTTAGGCTTGTTAATTTTTACAATAATATACAATTTGAAAAAACTCATTAATACAATGAATTTAAGTACACCCTACATCAATTGCGTGTTGTGCATAACAAATGACAATATCACAGATACTTAACTTTTAAAATCTATGAGACTATTTACAATAACAATACAGCTTAAGTTGATAGTCGTGAACGCAACGGCTTTGATCGCCGTAAAGGTTCAGCCGGCTGATAGTTCCCGCCAACGTCCAGCCGCCATTATCGCGCCGTAGGGTTGCCTCAAACAGTCCACCGCCGGGAGCCATGCGCACGGTCACCATGAATTCCCGCCAACCCACCTCGTCCTCACCCGGCATGCCAACCAACATTTCGGTTACCTCCAGCAAATCGGCAAGCCGGAGCCGTTCGCATTGCACGTGAGGGCGCACTATCAAATTTAGCCGCCGCACCAAAAACGCAGCGGCTTCTGCGGCTTCTATGCTGGCAGTAGATATCTTTTTTCCCGTATGACACGTGCACCAATGATCGTCAATACCGGCCTTTTGACACGTCCTGTTGCTCGGTATCGGCAAAAATAAACTGATACTTCTGTCATGTGAATAAAACGAAGAAGTGCGTTGAGGAATTCTGTCGTTTTTTATTTTATCTAAATTAACAAGATCCGAGAGCGTCGCGTATAAATCGAACGGTGTGGTAAGCCTCATGCTATTCGTTTTCAAATTATTATATGCCGAGGAATATTCTTCTCGAAACGATGTCGGCAATAAGATATGTATGAGCGGTAATCGCTCTTCTAGGCGTCCTTGTTTAGTAAATCTTATATCACCCCAACGTATGCCGTGATCGCTGAGCAAGATTAAAATCGTTTTTTCCAAATACTTGGAACTTTCCAGACTTTTCAAAAACTTCTCGTAGCTGTTATCCATAATAACTGGATAATTTAAATAATCATGACTCATCGTTACTTCCCAAAAGAAACCGAACAGTTTTGAGGATTTCAATGCTCTAGTTAGGTCTTCCACGTAATCGAGTAAAACTTGGTAAAAATATTTATTTCCCATGCAAATAAAAGAATTGAAGTCTTTGTTATTTCCCACTTGTAGCTCAGCTTCATGGATGAAAGTATGTATGTAATAATCGGTGGGAGTACCGCTGAATCCGGGTCGTTCAAAGTTAAATGTGCCTAAACTTGCACTGTCTTCCCCTAGTGCTGTATAATAACCAGCTTCTTTATACCAATCCCATATGAACGGACAATTATCGAATGTTGATCTGGTATTAGGCCAACAAGTTCTTTTTAAGTCTGTATCTTTTATGCCGAGCAGCATAGGGGTTAAATTGGGAAAAGTATTGTCGCCAACTTTATTATAGCCGAATAACTCAATAGCACCTTTCTTTTTCAAATACGACAAAGTCTTAGGCATCGTTCTGTAAAAGTTCAGTCTAGAAATAGCGTCTATTCCCATTACTATTACATTGTAGCCTGACTGATTTATAGGGGCATCGGTTGAGTCCTCCCTGTAGGATAGAAAAGGTTTCTTAGGTGCAAATAGAAGAAACTGCTCGTAAATAATTTTGTCATGATTGCTACAAGACACTTTCACAAATTCATTGGTCACTTCTTTGTAATCGTAGAAGTAAACACAATCTTCATATTTTACCCTGTCATCTATATCGACGGAAGATATGTCATTGATGGCTAATGGCCTAAAGAATGATTTATAACAGCAGCTTATGTTTGCATTCGAAGGGAAATTAAACTTTTCAGACAATATCCAAATATGTGTGTCATTATAACCTAGTAATGGGGACTTCGACGTATTGCACGGTTTCAAATGTTTCGGCGTTTCAATGAATTTTCGAATGCTCTCATCAAAAGGATGCAACCCTGGAATAGTGCAGCCTTCGGTTTTGATGGTATAAACGGCGTCTGAATCGAATACTTCATACCGACGCGGGGCATACCACGTCGAGATCACGTCACTCTTGAAGTAAAAGACGTCTGTGCCTTTGTTTACTATGAGGATCAGGAAACTTCCACCAAAAACAGTTGCAATGAGAAATATGTATCGAAAGCGAACTGGCGCTACTCTTCCGATAACGCTTTTTATTGAGTGAACCATTCTGAAAATGGGCAAAACGATAGTCGGTTAATATTTTAACGATATATGAATATGATTTTAAGTTTCGACTAAATTCAAAGAGTATTATATCATATTATATGATTCAAATATTAAGGAAATTACTATATATATTTATTACTAGAAGAACAATATTTATTTACTGTATGGATATATAAGAAGACGAAGCGATAATTCATTACTCACAATAAAATCTATCATATTTTTGTATCAAGTTTTACAAATTCCAAACAAGGGGCTGACTTACCTAATGCGTTAATCATGTCACTTTACGCCTCATGAAGAGTCTTGTGTAAATAAACCACATTTTGAGGAAAAACCAATCTCATGCTGAAATAAAAGCACTCTTAATTCGAACGAATTTTAATGTCTCGTGAATATAACCTAAACTGGAACAGAATGTAACATTTCATTGCGTATTAAATATATTGAAGAGGTCGTCGTGGCACGTTAGGGGCTAAACTGTACACAGAGACCGGAGGGCTCTTGGACCAGAGGCTGTGAGCATGCGCGATCGCTACGATTGTGCTCAATTCCATTGTTTAAAACGGCACGGCATATAATTTTTTTGTGTGAAAAATTGGCAAGTGAGCTGGTCGTTTACCTAATGTTAAGTGATTACCACCGGCCATGGACACAAAACACGACAATTTAACCCTTGCCAATATGTGGCCCTCACCAGACGAAACACAAAAGCTTAATACGGAAGGTAAACTTGCCCATTTTGACAACAACAGACGTTGCGGCGTGGTCCTACTGCAGTGAAAATGTATAACGTTATATTCTGTAACACCAATTAAAAGAATGGCCAAATTATTTAGTGGAATAATTTTCATTTTGAAATTTAATTCACACAACGTTAATCGTTGACTGATATTTCTTCTGACTATGAATAAAAGCAGCCGATTTAGAATAAAATCGTGTACTATGATTCCGATTCAATGAACAAGTATTAGCATTTTTAAGCATGAAATATCGTCAAATTCATCAACAGTAACGACACAACACCACGCGCCCCGTATCGTTACTATCTATGGAAATGTTTCTATTTCTCCCCTTGAAAATAATCATTCTTTTACGAAAAATATCTCCTTAAAAGCTTATGTAAAATTTTCCTTTGATTTTTTACTTGATATTAATTTTTCATATAGATACACAGATTTCAGTTAAGAGTTTAAATTCGTTTATATTTACTTTTTTGTTCGATTCTATAGCGTATAAGGGAAATACAGATTTTATTTTTTTATGTTAAATATTGGCAAGCGTGTTGCAGGTTCACCTGATGTTATGTAAATACTGCCACCGATGGACACGCCTTGACGGGTAGCAAATGCGTTGCAAAAAGCTCCGGTTATATCACTCGCCAGAACAAACCTTAAATTACAATACTACTACTTCATACCGTTGGTCTTCTGTGATGTCTCGGACAAACTAAAACAAACGACTCATTTGCGCAACAGCAGAACTTACCACAGTCAATTATATACTCATATTTGTAAAACATGGGTTTATTGTGTAAAATATGATATATGTTTATTATATATTTATTTTTTTAATGTTAGGAATTGGCTAGCGAGCAGGCAGTTCACCTGGTTTTAAATGATTACCGCCGCCCATGAACACCTACAACACCTGATGGATAGCAAATTTGCAAATGCGTTGCCAAAGTATTAAAAATGGCTCATGATTTACCGGGCCCGTACTGTGGTGGTCAAGAGGATCATGTGGGATCACCTCATTTAATTGGTAGGGGCGGCGTTGTCTACCCGACCAGGAAAGCCATAAAGCATCACTTCGCTTATCGATTCGCATCATCATCAATTCGCTTATCGTCTAACCACTGATTGCAAATTTACCAAGAAAAATAAAGTAACATCACTCCTCCTCGCTAGTATGAGATTGTAAAAAAATATTTCTGTTCGATATATAAAGTGAATAATAACTTAGCTTTATGTGTTTTTGTAGTGGTATTTAAGAATATATTTAAAAAAATAAACACAATTTTTAAAATAATGCGGATGCATTTGTTACATACTGCGATGGTTAAAAACGGCTTAATAATTTTACCTTCTTTTCAGTGCATGCAATCTAAATGCAATCTCGTGACCGTTCAAAGTATTACTTCTGCTTGAAAAATTAAGCCGAGTGCTCAACCGAGCGAAATGCATAAGAACCTTTGTCAATTTCCATTAACATAGTTTTATTTTGTTGTTAATGCGTGTGCCTCCAACACGAAGGCCAATTTATGTTTGACCTAAAATATTTTACATTCTTTGGTGCGAATTCCTGATGGTTCATAACTGGATGTAAGTGGGTAGTAATTTTTGTGTTCTTGTATAAAATTTTATATTTTTATTCTAGATCATTCGAGAAACTATGTAGATTTATAAAAGTCATCGTAAAAATTATAAGAGACTACTAATAATTTTCGTAATCTTGCTTATGTAACAAATAGCTTCGTATTTAACCGTAATGAACGAAAAGGTATTTTTAGTGTTATACTAAACAAGTTAGCATCAACGTAATCGTAGACGAAGTAGGAAGTATTATTAAAATTAGTATTTTTGCCATATTATAATTTAATTTTATCGATTATTTTGTTTTGTATTATATCCAAAAAGTTTAACATTACAGATGGATAACATGATGGATTATTTTTAGCAGATGTTTGGACTACGATTAATTTTATAATGTTTTACTAACACATTACGATTATTGTTCTTAAAATTGGAGGTAGGTAAATGCTTATACAGGAGCAAAAATAAAAATAAAAGATGACGCGTAGATGTATGTGTTATATGTTCTAGTTAAAACTTAAACTTATTACAAAAAATAAGCTCGGAAAACTGACCTTTAAATTTAAAAAAAACCGCTTAAATGGGTCGAAAGCGCGCTGACACTGCACGGTAGTAGTGACATTTTTGTGGTTCAACAGTTTGTTATCAAATACCATTGTTTGGAACGACTAATTGTTCTTTTATGGCCTTGTTAGTATTCGGTGTATGTATTATTAACATATGAACGTTTCTCGACTAGCGTCGGTTCCGTTTTAATATTCTCGATCGTGCAGCAGGCAAGTTATGGCTGAGTATGTTTTCCTTTTGCTAGATGAATGAACGATAAAACATGGAACGTTTTGAAATTTAGTTACTTTTAATAATTTATTTTTATTTAAGAGCTATACTTTTAACCGAATATTAAGAAATATAAGAAAATTGAGCCGTGACTGAACTTATTACATACATAAATACGTGTACAAGCACGTCAGATTCAAACAATTATCGGTGGGTCGCACAAATAGATGTCTTGTGAGGAAATCGAACCTACGACCACAGGCGCCTAAGCCAATGCCTTGATAACTGCGCCAAGGAGTCATTAAAAATTAAACGTAACATAGCAAATCGACAAAATTGAAGAATTTACATGTACTTAAATTTTACATGTACTTAAATTATTTAAATGAAAACCAATGACTTAATCAAACATTCATAACTGACATTTTTTAATAAAAAAAGAAATTTCCATAAAAAATACTAACTTTTATAGTCGTTAATCTTAGCTGTTCTGAATAAAGTCACAAAACTGAAAAAATAACTCTACATTGGCTGTTAAGGGGCCTTACTGCCAATTAAACTTCTCCGAAATCGGTCCCCAATTGGAATTTATCCTAATATTTTAGAAATTAGTTAAAATACGTATAGGTCAAATATAGATTACGTTGTCATGTCTACGAAGTCCGTAATGTCACCGTAATTATTAATTGAACGAATTATTTCAAAAAACGTTTGAAGCCTGCTCTGCGAGAACTGACGGTCCCCAATATCAAGGCTGCACATATATTTCATGTTTTTTTGTATAGGGGGATGAGTAAGGCCGGGGAAGTTTTGACGCATGCGCACACACCCACTGTCAACCCTTGGGATTTTCTCTCACTCTGTAAACTAACCCTAAGTGACTTCACAATAATTCAATTGAAAAAGTTTTATTAATTATAAGTCGACTACAAGATATGAATGAGGACCACATCGTTTTCCCTCGAGGTAAGTGACATTGCTCATTTAAACAAACGGACCAGTGACAAGTTTTTCCTCAACAAAATCGATAATGCAATAACACTGGCATAACCTCGCTTTTGTGAATTAACGATTTCCGCATGGATACGTGTCCTCAGTTTAAATAATCACTTTAAATCAAATGTACTTATAATATGTATCATTTGTAATTTAAGTTGATACTATCTACAATTTCATTACACCGAGTATCATACGAAAATATGAATTTAAAAATATGCTAAGGAAAAACCTTTTTTAACAAGCGTTAGTTGATTTCGAAACTATTTTAAACATTGCAGCATTGCGTAAATGCTCATAAAGGATCGCTCATCTAAAAATACAAGTGCTACTGCGTATTTTGTTTTTATTTTTTCTCCTAGTCTCTTACAGTAAATACGTAGTATCTAATAAGTTTATTACAATTAAACTAGTTCAGATAACCGCCGAAAAAATTTACAAATATGTACAATAAAGGCTATTTGACTGAATATTGTTTTTCAGGTTCTGGCCCTGCTCTTCCTGACATTGATCCCGTGGCCGGGGCCTTCTGTTTTCAAGATAACTTGTTCACGTGACAATTCTAAAATTGTGAGGAAAGTCATACAAAACAAATGGATGCCGGTCTTGGAAAGGTTTCAGGTACTTATATGTTTAAATTGTTGGACGTATCTAGACTTTGGACTTTTAAAAAAAGGAAAACAAGAAGGCTATAAACATATTTAAGTCGTTATTCTATGGCTACGCAACAGCTGCGCCTGTTGCCCGAATGGGAAACAACAAGAACTTTTCGACTTCTGCGTTTCGTCTGGTGAGTGAGGTAGCCGGGGCCCATTTTAGTATAAGGTGGCAACGCATCTACAAACTTACAGGTGTTGCAAATGCCAAAATCAGCGGCGGTTATCACTTAACCATCAGGGGAACCGGCTGCTCGCTTGCCACTTTCTCACATAAAAAAATATTCAACATAATAAGTGTAACAACATGTTCTTGAGAACATCTTATTATAGAGAATATCTCCCGAGTAACATGATGAATATTTTATTTATTTCAAAGAGATAACAATTGATCCGAATGGCGTAATGGGTATTGTACCTGTCTCCTGCGCCAGAGGGTGTGGGTTCGATCCCCACTACTGGAAAAATATTATGTGATGAACATAGTGTTTTTCTAGTGTCTGGGTTTACAAAAGAAAAGCATGTTTAAGTATGTTTATAACTTTTCTAGTACCCATAGTACAAGCTTTGCTTAGTTTGGGACTAAAGAATGTTGTGTAAAAATGTGTCCTAAAATATTTATTTATTTATTATTATTTATATTTATTTACAATGGTGTAAATACAAGAAAGTATTGCTCTTAATTACAAGATCACCAGAATGGTTGCAGGCAACCGGCAACTTACTCACGTTATTAATGCAGAAGTTTAAATACTTTTACTTTGCACCAGTTCTGTGAATCTATTCCGTTTTAAATTACGTATTGCACTTTCGTGATTTTATGGTCCATATCTTTCCTTTAATTACTAAATTAATGCAATTTACGTCGAATTTGATAAAGAGTATAAGTTTAGAGATATGAATTTTAGCCGACTTAAAAACAATTGGCGGCTGTGCTTTTTTATGTGTGTTGAACAACAATTACCCGTATTTACCCGTATTGTCCGACCTAACAATGATCCTTTTGTTTTATTTGTCTTGTCCCAATTTCAAACAAGCTTGTTCGCTAATTGATGATAGGATCAAAAATCAAGACTTCAAAACTTAAATTTACAAAGATATCGGCAAAATATGAGGGCGATAAAGATAAATCTTTACCACATTAATCGAATTCGATGATGTTTTTTTTTTCTATTGCAATGGAATTACTTCACTGCTGTTTTACGTTAGAGTTTATTTATAAATTATTTTTGTTACTTTTTTTGTGATGAAAGCGTTAACAATTGTATTGCATAATATATTTTAAGGTAAAGTTGCCATTGGAGTGTCCATTCCACCCTGCACGCGATATTTTTGCGCCGCAGCATGCGGCCAAATTGCAGCACCGACCTTCGCAGTGGACGTGTGCCTTTTGCGGAAAATCCTTCTACGAAGAACGACACCTTGATACTCACTTTGATCATCGACACAAGAACCAGATTAATAAGGTATGATGCCACGCTAGGTTACTGTGGTAGGGTCACGCAACTACTTTTGCTATTACACGAGTGGGCACGTCCGGGTAAGAAACGCGTCCTCGCAGAAGACCATCGTGAAATAGATTTATGATACTTTCTCCTTTCATCTGGTGAGTGAGGTAACCAGGGCCCACTTTTAATAAAGGTTGTCAACACATCTGCAAGTCCTCAGAAGTAGATGTCCAGGTAACGGTATTCACTTAACGTTACGTGAACAAGATGCTTACTTGACAGCTTTTCACATAAAAAACGTGTTTGGAGTGGTTGTCACCACTTATTATATTAAAATTTGAAATTAAAAGCAATAAATCCGTAAAAAACGGTTCTATTAAGTATTTTTTTATTTATAAGTTGTCGGATTTAAGACGGTCCGCTTTAAAAGCTGCCTATAAAAATCTTCTCAGGCGGAGGATGCAGTGTGCCTAGCGGACTACTGCGACATCATGCGGTGCCAGGTGCTGATAGCGCACGGGCTGCTGAGCGGCGGGGCGGGGCCGGTGACGGACGTGGAGGTGTGGCGGGACCTGGAGGCGGCCCGGCGAGCGCTGGCGCCTGCGGGTGCCCGCGGCCTGGCGACGGCCCCGCAGCACCGGCGCAACCGTGCGCGCGCACCGCCGGCGCCCGACTGCCGGCGGCCCGACCCGGACTCCGAAGATCGCGGTGAGGATATATCATTATCATCATCGTTTCAGCCTCTTTGAGTACACTGCCGAACATAGGACCCGCAGATCGCCACGTAGCACGATCCTGAGTCACCTGCATCCATCGACTCGCCGCACACTTGCACAATGTGTGGACGTAAAATTTACGGCCACCCTCCGCGTCCTATATCTCATAGAGTCATTATGTTAGCCGAGTCACTTTAATAAGAGTTTGTATGAAATCAAACATACAGTTACGTCAAAAAAAAATGATCCTTCTCCTTAATCATCATCATTTTATCATAATAACGGTAATACTTTAAGTTAGATTTTAAACAAAGAGATATCTACAAAGTGCACTTTTTCTTGTATCCATTAAAAATATAGAAGTTGAGGAAAAAGGAAGAGAAGAGAGTGAAGGTGACACGAATCAAACGGCGGAGTTGTGCGACGCCGATACGGTCGAGTCGTCTCTACCACCAGACAGTAGACAAAAGAGACTTGCAGACTTGCAAGCCGAGCGCGCTGCTTGTGACCCCGCAAGATTACAGGGTTTGAAGGTAATTTAATCTCGGTAAATAATTTATGTATTATTAAACATATTCTAACAGGGTAATTCCACGTGTGTTTATAAGGTGCGCTGTGAAAGGGTTGTGCATTCCTGTATAGCAACGCTTCTGTTGCATTTGACACAGAACCAGTTCACAGAGTTAGAAGGTTAGTAATGAAGTGTTATCTTGTATAAAATAATAAATATAAAAGAAAATTTAATATGTTTCTTGCTTTTTGCTTTTGGTGAAGTTCGCTTTTCAATATTTCTTGTTTTATTAATCGCTATGTTCTTTCAGTTGCATTTTCGCAGCGACCTGATTGTAAGCAATGTGGATATTTTAGTCAAGTTCTTTAATCTCCTTTAGACGGATGACCGCGAAAAGGGTTCAAATAGTAATTACATGTATTTAAATTTTAACAAAGAAAAAAAAAGCAATAGCTGAGGAAGATACCAGATTTAAAAAAATTCCCTAACACATCAACTGGACAAAGCACCAACTAAATTTTAACTAAAAGTGCACAACGACACGCGTTTAGCGATGTCCACCAACTTACGAAAAAATTGAACAATTTTTGGTTTTCTTGTTTTGTAGCGCATTATTTTTAACTTGTTATTTGTTACCTAACAGACTGTTTACACTGATGAACTAAGTTAAAATTTAGTTAACTATTTAACAAGTGTAAATCACGCATTAGAATTTTTTTTAATAATTCCTTTCATTAATGTCAACTTGGTGCTGAGATTCTATAACGTTTTTACTAGAGGATGTATGAGAGTCGAATTGTAACACAATTGAACATGATAGATGGATGAACCCTTCGAACATCTCTCATCACTTTCGAAATTTATTATCACATTGTACTAAATAGGTTTATGGAGTTCGAACGGAAGTATCAAATAACTTTGGTAGGACCATGTGGAGTGAGAGAGGACAACAGTGTTCACTGTTGCACGAATGGCAGGTCCGTCCGGGTAAGTACCACGACTTCACAGAAGACTGGCGTTAAGTACAATAAGTAATATAATATAAATATAAATGAATACATTAATGACAATAACCCCTGGGAATGAGTTAATCGCGTCCAAGCCATTTCTAAAAGAAAAATTTGTTGTATAATATTTTAATTTTGTTGAGAAAAAAAATTGTCAGAAAAGATACCTACGGAGTTCCTTTCGCCTGTTTCTTCTCCGTTAAAGGAACCTCATTACGAAACGGTGGTAGATTAAAAAAAATTACTATCGATAAATGAAATGTATTTTTCTTATGTCGATGAATAAATGACTTTGATTATGAACAACTTCTGCGTTTCGTCTGGTGAGTAAGGTAGCCGAGCTCACTTTATTTAAAGGTCGCAACGCGTTTGCAACCCTACGGGTGTTGCAAATGTCCTTGGGCGGCTGTTATTACTTAACATCAGGCGATCCGTCCACTCGTTTGCCACTTTCTCAAATAAAAAAATAGTGTAAAAGGAGGCTCTACAGAAGTACGATATGGACATCAAATTATCCATAAAATATGAGAGGGATAGTCGTGTCGTGACGTCTGTTATTTTCATGTGTCCAGAGGAAATGCAACGCGCGGTGTGCTGGTACTTAAGCTGCGACCGTTACTGGGAGGACGCGGCGCCGGCCGCCCGCGCCTTTCCCTGGCCCCTGCTCCTAGCGCTCGCCACCGGCCTAGCGTTAGCACTGTGCATGTGCTACTACATCATCTGGATCGTATTCGAGTACACACACTTGCGTTACGAACATACAATAAATAGGCCATAACAAAATTATAAGACACATTACTCCTATTATTACGAAGTGTAGGATATTGTTCATCTTAATTCCTATAGCAAAACATATTCTTAATCATTTCTGTACATTGTAAATGTCTTTGAAGGTGAGAATAACAATTTTAATATCAAGTGTCGTGATAGTTATCAAATAACTCTAAAAGATTATTTAATAAAAAAATATGCGTGCAGCATCATACAAGTAAAGAAGTTATAGAAGTGAAGTGAAAGTCATAAAAGACGTAAATTGTCACGAAACACGTGGAAAATTTACACTTCTTCGTTTCGTCTTGTGAGTGAGGTACGCGTTGCCCACTTTATTAAAAGGTGGCAACGCAAGCCTACGGGTGTTGTATATGTCCATGGGCGACGGTTATCACACATCAGGTGAATGGCCAGTTTGCTTGCAACATTCTCACATAAAAAAAACCGTTACGCACCCTCGAAAAGAGACCCTTAAGAAGTTTCACTTCGAAAACAAAAGAAAAACGTCAACGAAAGCCTAATCGAAAACTGCGAGGCAAATATAACCTCAAAATTGTCATTTCCCGCCGCCATGTTCCCAGTTCGGAAGAGGGCAGCGTGGCGGGCAGTGCTTCGGTGTCGATGACGACGCACTCGTCGCCGACCCGCGGCGAACGGCTTGCCGGGGACGACGCCCTGGACGATGAGCACGATGACCACTATATCTACGTCACTTACCCGCCCGAGCTTAAGCGCCGCCTGCTGGAGAGGTACGCAAACAGCCGCTTAACGCTTATCATACTAGCGCCTTTCCTGCGACAGACCCGTGTCGACTAGATACATAATAATTATATACGAAGATTGCATTATGTTAACGTGCCCGTTGCAATGTGCATATGTCCGTTCAATTTAAACAGTCCTTAAAAGTGATATTTATACAAATTAGAAATATTGTGTAAGCGAAATGTGCTGAAAGAAAATTATTTCATATATTTATCTGATTGCCGTTTTGTATTAATTTTCTGTTCTGTACATATTTATATGACTGCCATTTTTTTACTGTATTCATAAATCATATACTCATTTTCGTCTTCGAACTCTATGCTGTTATTAAAGGTCGGGTTTTGGTTTAAAATTAAATTTAAGTTCTGTATTAGGCAATGCTAGCTTTGTGAAATAATACTTAATTAGTGGAATAAATATTTCATATTTTTTAAATACCTTTTACTTTTAACTTTTGTTTATGAAACCTTATTATTTGGCTAACCTCTTATTAGATAAATAACTAATGTAGAGTTAGATGTTTCGTGAGAGATATTTATCCTTTCGTGGTTATTTTTTTATGCTTAATAGTTGTATAACTTATTTAACGATGATTGTAGAACTAACAAAGTATATTTATTGTTTTAGCTGCTACAATAGAACAACTCGACTTTGAAAGCAAAAATGTCGTCCAATCGCGTCGTGCATGAGTGCATATTTAAAACTTAGACACTAGAAGCAACTAAGACAGTCTGATGTAGCCAAATATACTGTTGCGCTGTGTGGAACTGTCCCTTATATCGATAGTAATCTACGTTTGTTCTCTAAATTTGATTCGCGGTAATGTACTAAGAAGTAGCATTGTTAAAAGCACTTTAGTTACTAATTAACAAAATTGAATACCTTAACTTCTAACTTCGGTTTTATTAATTAGTAATTAAAGTGACTGAAACTGCTTAACTTTTCGCACCTACAGATATGTTTATTTTTAGCTATAAAATGTTTGTACAGTTTCGCACACAGCATTGTAAAGGTACGTATTATATATTCTATTGGAAAAATACTTGAAAAGTAAAGAAATTACATAAAAAAAATAGTGACGATTATTTTCAATACCGCAAATTTTTATACAATTGAGAATATGTTAGTGTGCGCAATTGTTTTAGTATTTAAATATGTCTAAATATTTAGCACAATTGAACAATTCGTGCCTCTATTTGTATCTTCCAATGAAAACATGTAGAAAAGCTTTAAGATCTTTCTAAAGTACAAGTTACCATCGATATAAGGTCTGGTGTAGAAACGGGTTTAAAAACACAAACTTTCAGCACCCTATAATAGTAATAACCTGTGAATAGACTGTAATGATTAGTTTCATAAATACTATTTTATCTTTGTCGATGATTTAATATAGTCAATAGATAGGTTCATTTTAGAAGTAGTCTGCTTTAACGAAAGTGGTGCCTATTTGCATACTAAATTATGTATTTTCATACCTAATTTATTTACCTGTTTGTAATAGTCATTTTGTTTCAGTAAGGATATTATAAAGGCTGCATATTAGTACCTATAAATGAAAGCGAGTCTACCATTGTTATATATTAAATGAGATATACAGTGATATGTATGAAATAATATGTATTTGTATTATTGTATAAATTTAACAATGAAATAATATATTTAATAAAAAAAGTAAATCAAGTTCAATTCTGATAAAAGATAACATACATTGACATAAGAACAAAAAAAATTGTAAATGATAATCAAGTATTGGTCAGCCACCGCCATTAATTTTTGTTTCATGTCAATTGTAGCTTTTCGCAAAACACTTTTAGTCCTGATTACATACATATACAGCGGGTCTTTACAATCGCGACAATCAATGAACACACGTCTAACGCTACTTGCCAATAATTATGAAAAAATGTTGACGTCAAAAAAATCCATACTTAAAAAATATATTTCAAACAAACTAATTAAGTAAAAAAGAAACAAAATTTGTAACACCTACATAACTACAACTGACTGATTCATACATTCAGAGACTTTTTCATTCGTTTCCACAGCGTCGCATTACAAGCCTCTCCTTCTAACAGTATGTTTTGCCTCTTTCAAATTCATTCAACCCATTCCTAAGCTTTGTGAACTTTACATATGAACTTTACGTTACAGTTTTATACGTAAAGATGTTGGTTAATTCGTTGGTTTGGAAAATTTAATAATTCGGTAAATATTGATGTTTATAGAATGTAAATGTTTAATACAATTTTAAAAATTTATCCTCTATATGTGTGTTCATTTATTGTCGCGATTGTAAAGACACGCTGTATAATAATTATAACATATTGTATATGTTATCACGGATCGTGATAAATGCACAAATTGTTGAAATTAATTTAATGTTGTTTAGATATAGTTTTATATGTTTTATACTAAAATAGCAAGTCTTATTATTTGTATGAAAAGCGATATATTTCTTAAATTAAGTAATTATATTAAATGTTCACTTAGTTATTTTAAACTCCATGGTAAATAATGTACAAATTCAGTTTAGCATATACATCCTACACCTATATCTATGAAAGTTACAACTCATCTAATTATGAGTGTAAATAAAGATCTTTTGATTTTGAAAAAAACGTCTGCAAGTTGTGATCGTGTTACGTACATGTTTTATAACGTATTACGTTAAGTAAAATGCACAAGTTTAGAGTAACGATGGTTTTAAATTATGGTAATTATACATATGTCTCGATAAAAAGTATGAGGCGTTTTTATAACATTTGCCACTAATTATTATAACCATAGTGCGCTCGACTTTCATAAGAAACAAAAATATCGGAGTTCCAAACTGAACTACATCACCACAGAAAAATGATTCTTTGTTTTTAATAAATAAAAAAAAATTAATAATATTAATTAAAACTTATAATTTGTAATTAAATAAAAGTTAATAATTGAGATGGAGCTTTATACTTCACATCAGGGTTCTAGAGCGCAAATGGGTTTTTTTTATTCGAAATTATGTCATTTATATCGATAACATTACAGACTCATTTTACAGATATTTTTTAATTATATCATAACTGTTGTTATCTTCGTTTTATTATGTATTGTATATTTGCAAACGCATAAGATTTTTGTCAATAACTTTTATATAAATCTGTAAATATTTTATACATAATGTGATTTTTTTCATATGTGCATACTTACAATGCTTGATAAAAATTAGACTGCCTGTAGTAAAAATATTGCGTATTTTTCGAATTGTCAAATTCACACAATTGTCATAAGCACATGCACGTTATTTTATTTTAAAATGTATATCTAAAAATATTGTTAAATAAATTAAAAGAAAATTTATAATGAGTTTAATTTTCATCAGTTCTTTAGTTTGCCATATTTTTGAATAGGTCTTAATTATTGATTCTACTAGAAAAGCACTAAACTAGCACTAAATTTAAAACACACGTTAGTATAAAATTTCAATATTATACATTTTTTTTATTTCAATCTTATTTTAATGGAAATTTGGACTGACTACTGCCATCTTGATCGCGCAACAGTTGCGGGAATAAAAAAAAATTGGCTCACCATGGAGTGACCACTGGTTGAAAATAAGTCAACTATTTGCAAGCTTATTATCAGTGAGCAAAATGGTGTGTGTACTATATAATTTACAAAATCATTTAACAAAAATTAATTTATCATATATTTCAAATGCGTAATAGTACATACACATATCACTTAATTCTACACATACTTAACTCCTTTCCATACGGACGTTCCTTCGATGACGCATTTGCAACCGCATCCCGTCGGACAATTGTCGTGATGAGCAAACCTATTAAAAACAACATGAAAACAACTGAACTGATTTTAATCTAATTTTGAAGATATCTTTTCATCTCGATAGTTAGTAACTAGTCTTTTTTCAAATAATCACAAAGAGCTGTGGTCGACAGGAGATAAAAATGATTATTTGAAAGCCGGAAATTGGATTGCCATAAAAGTGATAAAAGATGTGGTCAATGGAGATATAAATGAGCGGATTCTGATAATTACATGTGGTTAAAGTGGTCACACTGGATGGATATAGCCAAACCCTGTGTCGGGTGCATATTGCGTCAAATTCAGTCAAAAGAACCCATTACGAACTCATTACGTGGTCAGCGGTATAGGAAAACATTCTGAGGAGACTTGCATATTTTCGAATAAAACCGCGGTGGAGTCGCGTGCTGCTCTGTACAGAGGTGGCCTCTGCTCGGTAGTGTTACTCTACTTTTACAGCTCGCCATTGCGGAGCGAACGCGGCACTCACCACTCGAGCAGGTGGCGCGCGTGGCCGGCGTGGCCGCAGAGCGCGCACGCGACTGCCAGGCCGCGCACGCCGAGCGCGCACACGGCGCAGCGCAGCGCGGGACGTCGGCACGCCGCGCACGCCCCACCGCGGCACACGCGCGCGCACCACGCGCACTCCCACACCGCCTCGGGGCCGGCGGGCGACTGAGCGCGCTCGCCGCGCCCCCCCACCAGCTTCATCACCTGTCCAGGCGGCGCCCAGTTTAATTTTTTTAATTTGAGGCTGTTCACCTACACGCTGCCAAGGCACACGCGCTTGCACCACGCGCCCTCTCACGCCATCTCGAGGCCTGCGGGCGATTCCACGCGATTGCCGCGCCCTCTCACCAGCTTCATTACCCGCTCACTGGCGGCGTCCCGTTTATTTTTCAAAGTTACACTTCTTTTATCGCGTTTGCGAAAAATGATGAGAGTGAATTCATTGTGTACGTGCGTACAAAAGCACGCACAAATGTTTATCTTAAAAGTTGGCAAGCAAGCGAGCAGTTCACTTGATAGCAAGTGAACACCGTAACTCATCTAGATCTAAATTACTTGAGGATTTGCAGATGCGTTGATAAACCTATAAAAGGTCCGTAAAAGTAATAAAATCGCTTTTATTTTTGTTTTAATGTGAAAAGCTGGCGAGCAGGCGGTTCTCCTGGAGCATTCGCCAGTAATGATTAATAGCCACCGACATCTGCAGCATCTGAGGTGCGTTGCCAAGCTTTAAAAACAGTGAGCCCCGTTTATATCACCGAGCAGATAAAACGCAAAGTTTACCACTTCTATTTCACGCTAGTCTTCTGTGAGTTATGTTCTGAGAAGGTTAAGTGCTTCCCGAGAAGTCAATTTTGTCGCTAAAGCTGAAGTTTATAGTCAGCATCATAATCCACAATGAAATGCAAATTAAGGCATCAAGATTTAATAGAATCATACAGACAGAATATTAAACGATGACTCGGCGGCGCAGTTGCTAAGCTATTGGCTTCGGCGTCGGGGGTAGTGGGTTCGATTCCCACATGGGACAAGTATTTTTGTGACTCAGAGATAATTGTTCCCACGTTATTCAACATGATTCATTGTGCCGACCCCACATAGGCGGGATAAGAGTAGGAGGATGATGATGAGACAGAATATTAAGAACGAAAATGATAAGCCTACCTCAGTCCTCTTATACAGTAGTTGCCACCGATGCAGTATATCGGCGTATACGCGTTTGAAACAGTTGTAAAGGTGGACGGTCGCTTCGTCTAGAACGCAGGCAGAGGCACGCTCGGACTTCGACAGAGTCGAGTCAGTGTGGAAGTTTTCCGCTTCGGAGCAGGAATTGCTGCGTAGTATTATTGGCAAAGTCCATCCGTCCGCGCTTATTTCGCTGTACTGATTCACTGTGCTGTATGGCGACGTTCCATTGCCCTGTGACGAATGGCACTAGTGAGAAAAAAGCTCTCACGTTAATAGATAGTCTTTATGGACCTAGAAAGTCTAGACAGAGATAGTTATATAGGTTTATTATTGAATGGTTTTAAAATAGAAAAAGCTGCCATTGGCAAATTTTTTTTTTAACTAATATAATTGTCATATAAAAATGTGAGACAGCGTATCCACCAAAATGCGTAGAGTCTTTGCTACAAAATACCGAGAGAATTTCGAGAACAAAAAATTTTTTTTTTTGAAAAAAATGTTAATACGCCTTGAACACGTGATATATCACGTGTTCAAGGCGTATTAACGGACGTAAGTTATCATGCGTATATGCAATACGCAATAATAGATTTCTAAACTACTAATATTTCTTAAAGGCTTCTTAATATTAGGATATCTTATTAACAATTAACTTTTCCTCATAATAAGACAAAAAAATATAACTGTTTTTCACAATTTGTTATAGGAGAATGTGGTAAACTAGCGCCAAGATGACGTTTCACCCGATTTAGCAACTCTGGTCAAATGGGGTCATGGTTTCGATTTCTACATGGGACAAGTATTTCTGTGTACACACAGATAATTGTTCCGGATCTGGGTGTTTGTTCCCAACGATGTCAGGTAGGCAGTCGGTCGTAAAAAAAATAGCTAAAATCACTTACAAGATGATTTACTCATGTTGTGCCGACCCCACCTAAGAATAAAAAAACGAAACACCTGTGCGGCTTCGCTCCCATTGTCAACCAGGAAAAATATGTAAGTGTGGTAAAAATGCTGAGGAGACTTGCATGAATATGCAAAAATTCAAAAATTCGAAAATTCGAATAAGCCCGCGGTGGAGTCGCGTGATGCTCTGTGCCCTATTACTCTGTACAGAAGAGGCCTCAATCTCAATATTAAGGGATTTTTGACAAGTAACTTACACAGCTCGAAGTGCTGATGGTTGATTGTGAACTTGAGTTGTAGGTGTCGTTAAAAACGGCAAAAGCGCTGGCTAACATCGAAGCCATTTGAACATCAGAAGCTTTAGCATAGTGTGATATCCTGAAATTTTATAAGAGTCATGAGAATACAACGCCGCACGTCGTTTATAGATGCATCGTAATGGGACAAATTTTTACACATTTAATATCTTCAAAAAAAAAAAAAACAGATAAATGGAACTCGGGGTTCATGTTTTTATATAGTCTACGGATCTAAGGCAAATATCAATCAGCAAAAATGTAGATTAACCCCCTGACACAAATAAAAAAACTCAAATTATAGCTAAGAACCATCTCCATCAAGTCAGCTTTTAAGCAAACAAAACCGGTCAATAACTGGTCCATTCTTTTTCAAGCTATGATGTCACGGACAGACACAAAACTTATAACAACCTTTACGTGGGGGGTTAACAATATATCGAGTCATAGGAAAATGGAGTACCGATCGAGTGGTCGGAGCGAGAACTGGAAAGACTAATACCGCTACTGACAGTGCCTGGACGAGGTTGCAGCAGAGCGGGTGGCCAACCCAGCCCATGCTCTCCTCGCTGGAGGTCAGGTGGTCTGAGAGACGAGCCGCCAAGGCGCGGGCGGCAAGCGCGGCTAGGCCCCACGCGTGGGCTATATCCCCCTCCCCTTCATCGGCTGCCACCTTCGCGTTCCTCTCGCACATTTCTGGAAGTGCTACCCTATTTGTAACCGTTCTCTATTTTTCTAAATCAATATACTGTAATGTTAGCACTGGGTTTTAGGTGATGTCTCTATATTTAGATTTGAGGTGGAAATGGATATTAGTTTCAACTGTATGTATGTATTGTAACAGAATCTTTATTGGTAAAGATCAATAATAAGATCGTAGTACAAAATTGACGCAGTGAGGAGAGAATGCAGAATGCGTATGAATTTGCATTAATTAATAAGTTAACATTTTGAACACTTTTTAACGTACCAATGGGATCATCGGCGTTGATGATGTATTTTTCGGCCAGTGATCGATTAAGAGGAAACAGGTTGTTGGCAGCATACAAAACGACCCGGGGCGACGAGCAGCCCGATATACTGCCCCGGCTTCGTATATTACCTGCGCGGCGGCTTTGAGCTTTCTGATGACAAACAATTCGGATAATATACGAAGAAAGATAAACAAAAAAATGTCAAAAAAACATGTGTGAGGTCGTTCAATCAATAAAGTAAATGGGCATTATACGCTTTTAAAGGTGACATTTAATTATGAATGAATGATTAAATGCGATAGTATCAGAAACCTGAAAGCCTCTGCAAGTAAGAATCGTTTGAACGTAATGGACCTAATCTTTTAATAGTATATCCGCCGGTTCGATCTTCTAATATTCGATATGAGAGTAATGAAAACCCAGTGGAGATAATGAGAAATAAATTGTATATAACAAAATATTATATAAATAATAAATAAGATTTTTACGAGTTCACTATTAATTCGAATAGTAAGAAAACCAGACTTCATAAAATAAGATAATCCGGTTAAAAATTCATCTCACCTCGGACTTACTCTTAAATGCAGTTCGTAATCGATACTTTTTTTTTCTAAATACCAACATTACATCGAAATCGACTCACCCATCTGTCCTGGAAGTAGAACGTTGTTATGGAGTTGGACGGGTGGCGGTGCAGCAGTTGGGGGAAGCCGGAGGCGTTCGTCGGAGAGGGCGTTGTGGTCGCGTGGGGGGAGACCGAGCTGTAGCCGCCGCCGAAGAGGCCGGGCGTGAGCGAGAGGGACGACATGGACCTCGGAGTGCCCGCCTCGTGCTTCAGCGAGAGCCGCCTCGCGTTCGGCGGCCGGTTGAACACCACCAGCGTGCTGACGCCGCACCACTTCGCGCCGCATGTGCGCGGGAACGGTATGCACGAGTCGCCCGCGTTCTCGCTCTCCGACTGGCTCCGCTGGCTCGACTTCATCGAATCCGAGTCGTCGTTGGACTTCACCGGTATCTTGGGAAGGTGGCGACGTTAGCAGCGGCATGAGGATTGGCCAAAAAACGCCAAGTATAACGGTTGACGAGTTAAACGTTTACAAAGACCCATGCCGCACGATGCATATTGCGACAACTCTTAACACGGAGACTGCTATATAAGCTAAGTATTAGATATAGGCGTAGAAAAATGCTTTTATATATGTATAAAGTTGCTTTGTGTGCGCCGACTCGTCCGGTAATACCTCACGGTAACACAGAAGACTGGCGAGAAGTATAAGTATTAATCTTTATTTTATTTCTAAAAATGTAAAACAATTAAGTAAAAATATAAAACTTACTTCGTCGATTGACGTCGCCAATGTTTTTAAGCAATGCAATAAACATCTATGACCTTCTTTCTTTTTGCGATAAGCCGTTTTGTTAATGGCTTGTAAAATCTTTATAGTGGTTGGGCTGTCGACGTTAGTTCCAGAAAGCCATGAGAATTTCGGTATTGTCTGTTCGGTTACGTTCCTGGGGAAGGTAACCTGTAGGTTTGCTACATAACCATTTCGCTCCGAGTGGATCTGACACGTGCGTGTCTCTATGTTCATGTCCGTAACTTCTATGTTTGCCATTTCACGGATAGACTCGAATTCTTCATCAATGGACGTAATAACTTTGTGGGAAATCTTATTCTGGGGGTTTTCATAAAAAAAAAAAATTATGTCACATAGCCTAATCATGCATGTTCATCAAGTGTTTGAATGATACATACCGATTGAGAATCCTGATTTTTGTCAGCAAGCGAAAGGTCATTAACAGAGCCAACCGTAGAAGAATAGCTAACGCCTGAAATGCATTTTAAATAATATGTTATCTTTTTTCATAACTTTTAGTTCTCAATTACCTCTTTGCTCAACAAAAATATTAAGCATAAATTCTAAAAACTAATATAATAAAATTGGGAAAAGATGTGATAGAAGCTAGGTTCTTCCTATTTATGACCAATTACTATTGTGGTTTTCACCTAATAATAATGAGATACTTAGCAAAGCTACATGAATTAACTAAACTTACTATCACTATTATTGTCATCTTCGCCATCAGCATCATCTGGCAAATAATGTGAACACATTTTCAAAAGAGATGGATGCATAGTCCATATTCTAAGGGACTGATCTCTTCCCCATGTTACTAATTGATAATTAGAAGGTGACGTGTTTGGTCGCCAGACCATTGTTTGGACTGTGTCTGTGTGTCCCACTAATCTATGAGTTAATATACCCCCTACCCAGATACCAATTACACCAGCCTGCTCAACTCTGGGTAATCCACCCCATCCCACACCAATAGTTAACAATCCACTTCCAAATGGTGTATAAATTGCCCTCCATACAGGAAAATTTGTCATTATAATGTTTTCAGGCCTTCTAGCATTATTGATATCAAAATATTTTATGCTTCCATCATGACTAGAAGTTACTAATTGGTACTCATGATGTGGACTCCAGTCCACCCCATGTATTTTGCATAAATGTGCAGATATATAATGTATTGGTGATGTTGGTTTACGGTAGTCCCAAATTTTTATATCTCCATCATGTGCTGTAGCAACTACATGAGTTGCTACTTTATTCCATTGAACTTGAGATGCTCCAGCTGGAATTTCAATGTTTATATATTTATTTTAAACACTAGTATCAACATTTCATTGTGTATTTATAATAATAGTAAAAATTACTCAGCATTAAGGTTACTGTTGTAAAACTTAAAAGAAAGAAAATAGTTAAACAAAGATGTTTATCTTTGTGTTGTTATTATATGTAAATAAACAAGGTAATCATTTTTAAAGTAAGGAGAATAGTAATAACAACAGTACTAACCTACTGCACACAAGGAAATAACTGGTTTTCTAGCATCTCTTAAATCCCATAAGTGAGTAAAAGTATCAATGGAGCAAGTCGCAATGAGAGTATGGTCCTGTCTATGAAAATGTGTATCACTAACAACACGAGTATGCCCCCGCAAGGAACATATACATGTCAAGTCATTGCCTGCACGCCAGTCATATACATCCACACGCTGATTGCTCTATAATAATAGGTATAAGTATCCAACAAAAATTAAATCTGCGAACAATGTCGTAAAGTACACACATCACAGAAAACATTCCTTACCGCTATTGCACATAGATTTTTCCCTTGATATGTTTGACACCACTCTGCTCCAGCAGCATCGTATTTACTGTGACGAGGGTATTTTTTAACAATGTCTCCTCCAGTATCATCTTCTAAACTGATGTGTTTAATGGCTAACCATCTACGCCCTGCTAATAAAACATTGTTGCCTGAATAATCTATTGACATAGCAGTGGCCTGTAATTCTCTGTACTCCCATTTCATTATTTCGGAACTCCAGTGGACTGGCATTTTCGTTAAGTATGAGCTTTACGTTCAATTATAAAATTCTAACCGAGTAACATATGGATATATTCTGTTGACTACACTATTTTAAAAACAATAACAAAGTACAAAAATGGTAGTAAACAAGTCAGTGAAAAACGTCACATTGACAATCAGCTGTTTGAAAAGTTTCAAATCACGCATAATCATTCGAATTAAAAATTGACGTAAAAGCATGAAAAATGTTATAACGTTAATACTTTAACATAAATGCGATGAATTTTCGGACCAAATTTAACAAAAATGAATAATATTATTTTATTTAATGATGAAATTGAGAAGTGTATTGTAATAAACATATAATGTTAATGTAGGTACCAAGTACATATCATATTTAGATTTCATTCAGTCAACTGTCAATGTCAGTCCGCAATCGTGAAAACAATTATTTTGTTGTTTATCTGATAGTATTACTAAATTACTATCATATTGAACAAATACATTGAAAAATGAAAAGATAGTTTCTGATTTAAGTTTAGTTTTTATAGACCTAGTATGCCTTTAAAATAAAAAATGATTTTCGATTAAATCTTAGTCTAAAAAACAAAATAATGATTTTCAAATCAATAAATTGGCGCCAAAAAATATTAGCAAGCACAATTCCTCGATTTCTTTTAGGTTTATTGTTCATATATTTTTACTGCGAATATATTATTTACTACGTTACACAAATTCAGGTAAATCAAGTTCATACAAATCACAGTACTTGAGGTAAATTAAAACAGTTTTCATAGGTATCCACCAATTTTTTTTTATAATTAATTATTCTTTATCACGGTTTAAAGTGCGAATGGCCAGCTCTTAGTATAAAGACGAAAGGTGACTTAGAACCAGTTCGCGCTATGGTTTTAGCTGATAATCACTTACTTGGCTCAAGAAATGGACACTGGTTCGATAGGTGGCGACGAGAGTGGCAAATGCACCGAGCATTTCAGACGGCTATGACTATTCATCAACCAGAGCTTGTGTTTGTCCTAGGTACCTTATTTATTTATAATTGTAATATTTTTCTAGTGTACCATATAAAAACAATTATGGACAATACAGTTCACTATTTGTAAATTGAATTTTTCATGAAATTAATGCATTAATAAAGCTTTAAGAATCATTGTCTGTATTTTCTTTCAGGAGACTTATTCGATGAAGGAAAATGGTGCTCCCAGCATGAGTTTAATGACTATGTACAAAGATTCTTTAAGTTATTTGAAGTCCCAGAAGGTACAATAATGTATTCTGTTGTCGGAAATCATGACATTGGTTTTCACTACAGGTAAATAAATCATAGAGCTATAATTAATTTTGCCTAAATATTACCTGATTCATTCAGATGTTATCTATTATATATAATGTTGGTGTGCAATTTTTTAAAACATAATTATAATTATTATTATATGTCTGATAATATTAAAATCTGAGAATTAACAGAATATTTCCTCTTTATATGAAACAAAGTAATGTAAGCATCTGTGGTGCATCAACACCACTTAATCATGGATCATAAAAAGGTATTCTGTAAGGGCTAATTTTCCAGTAAAATTTCATAATTTTGTTCAATGTTTCATTACAGGGATTATGTAAAAACTGCAGTTTAGAGTTGTTTGCTTGTTGATAACTCTCTTGCTTAAATTTTATTAAGGGTCTCAAATTATTATGTTATGCAATATTGTTGGGATACAACAGAAAAATGATTGAAGGAATTGTTGAATAACACATTTTAATAATCAATAAAAACATAATAATAAGTAACAGGTTTGACATACATAGGTCACACTAAATAATATAATATAAAAACCACTATAAACTCAACTAACTAATCATTTATTTCTTATAAAAGTTATGATTCACATATACATTGAAATTGGTACAATTTTTTATACCAACTGGGAAGTTTTATGTTGCATATTTACTGTTTGTGAAAAACTATTATTAATTTCGTATGATTGTTCATGTAATAGATTTGTCAAAGGTGTTATACACAATACAAAGATTTTTTTTGGAAAATGGCGCCACCGGTAACATTCTGGGTAGACAAAGGGAACTATGCCCATACAGCCAAGTCTTCAGTTGATTTTTTTATTGATATGAAATGAAAATGAAATTTAATGAGATGAAATGAAATGAAACCTAATCTAACTTATTGAATCAAATCATTAACATCTGATATTGAAACAAATTACTAGCTTCTTTTTAGAAATATTTGCATGAATCATAAAAACTTCATGATTGGTTTTTAATGGACATTATTTTGACAGTTGGGAAAGAGAACGCACGAGTTCGGAAAAGGTAAAGAAAAAGCACGAGTGTATAATAGCCAACATCCCGAACGCTATACGTCCCTGCAATACGCCACTTTTTGAGCAACTGTATTAAAAATTCATTTTTCTTATTCATTCCGGAAACTTTTAGTGCGCCTCACGTTGGAGCTGAAACCATTTCTTAGTTAGGCATGCTTGAGATAAAAACCAAATTTACTAGTTATGACAATTGAAGTGTAAGAATTAATATTATGTTCGGATTCAAAGAAGATAAATCATAATTTTATCTTATTTGAATCGGAACTGAAAGCACCAACATCTATAATGGCAAAATATAGGAATTCAATATCTACATAGTATCATACACGGTACATCAAATTATCTAGTCTTTCTGATTATGTCAAGATATAGAAGTTATATGTTTCATTATGAACATATAGTGAAGTTATCTGACCGTGACAGATCCAATAAGAGCATGCCCCCTCAGTTGCAAGAAGCTATGCAGATATATGCACCCTCCCCACATTAACCTACAGAATCGTTCTTTGGGTCATCGGAAGTTCGCTTTTGGGCTGTACCAACGAGTCAAAGTGTGCAGTATCTTCAACCAAAACGGTCCGACTACCTAAGAAATATATATGCTTTCGTAAGGCATATAAACGCCGAAGACACACGAGATGTTGCTCGAATTGTGAATGAAGTGTGCACAAATCGCAAATGAAATAGGCGCGGCGGATTCAGACGTGGCTTTGGACAAAGCTAGACGTTTTTAAGAGAGCACAAACTAATCTAGTAGATAGCCCAACATTGCCTCTTTCCAAGATGATAATTATGAAATATGTATATCGTTTAAAGATCGATGCGGGTAAAGTCGCGGATATAAGCTAGGTTGCAGGCCCAGACATTCAACGAGACATTATAATAATGTATATGATGTTTATGCTTTATTTATATAGCATCACCCCACAACTGGCAAATAGATTTGAGAAGCAATTAAACTCGCCTCCCGTGAGACTCATTAGCCTTCGTGGCAATCACTTCGTCCTTATCAATTCTATGGCAATGGAGGGAGATGGATGTTCATTATGTTCTCGAGCTGTCGCTGAAATTGACAAAATTGCTGGTAAGAGTTTTTTTAAAATATGTGTATGAAATGAATTAGATTAAAAACTGATTTAATTTATCCAAGACAGAAATATGCTTTAACTTCACCAAATATTTGCCAATAACAAGATGTGGTAATAAATGGCTTAAATGTATGTAAACAGTATGGCAAGTTCTTACGAATTGATTTTTAGGAGTAGGAGATAGATTATGAACAAGTATCGTAATAATTGTAATAAAAGTTAATCTTAATGCATCGACTTCAAGGTTGATTAGAGCATAATTGTAGTGCTTATATTTGGAGACGAATGATTTATTTATTTTGTCTGTGGCCCGTGTAACAGTCTACGCTGTAGCATAAATGGGCTAGTCCGTTCGGGGAAGTACCACAACCTCACAGAAGACCGTCGTGAAGTAGAATACTTCTTATATTATACTTCTGCGGCTCGTCTGGTGAGTGAGGTAGTCGGGGCCCACTTTAGTATAACGCATCTGCAACCTTACAGGTTATGCAAATGTCCACGGCGGCGGTTATCACTTAAAATCAGGTGAACCATTAGCTCGCTTGGCACCTTCTCACGTGTAACATTATAGCGTAAACCAGCAGTGGACTTAAACAGGCTGAAATGATGATGATTGATGATTTACATTTAAGTTTTTCCGTCGAGTGGTGGTCGAGTATCGTGGTCATTTGAGGTACCTGCAATCTCCAGATTCCTAGGGGGGTTGTTATCGCTTAGGGAACCGCTTTCCCACCGCGCACCTTCTGCCCGAAAAAACATCACAAAATGCCTGAAGTGATCGTAACTTTCAGATATATTGAAATGTAGCAGTGGTTCACCGTTATGCAAAAGTCAGACGAAACTGGAGTTGTACAGCCGGCCAATTGTTATGCAGGTATGATTACGCAATAAAAATTTTGTGCAAATAAAAAAATTAAATAAAAACTTTCTCCTTCCCAAATAAGAAGCCCACTAAAGGAAGATTTTGACCTAGTATCTTAGTTATAATAATATACTGGTAAAACCACGCGGCACATCTCCTGTTGCTCGAACTACCATAGAAAGTGTTATTAGTTACCTATTACTATCATTGCGTCTCTTGCGCTAACCAAACCCTAGTCTTTAGTTGTTGACGAGGTTGGTAAGGTTGGCAGAGATAATTGGTTAAAATCAGAAAAACAGCGATCTGGTCCGTCAACTTGATGAACCAGTAACGAATATTAAAATTAGATTAATTTGCTCTATCTTTTGAATTTAATTTGCAAAGAGAAAATTGCGTAATATTTACTGAATATTGGGTTATTCATTAAAAAAGACGAAAGTCTGTTGACGTCAATGCTGACATTACACTTTTTTATTTAAAATATGTACGTTTTATATAAAGAGTACCATGTTAAGTTATTGCAACAACTTTTTGAGCTGCTCTTTTTTAAATTTACGAAATAAAAAGGTTTTACACATCGTACATAATAACATATTGTAAGGTGCCTAGATTGTGACGTACAAAAGAAGGATTAGTTAACAGCCTTATTTTAAAATTTTAATTACATTTAACGATCCGATCGGCGATGTGGTTACAGAAACATCTCTTGCGCCAGCGGGTATGGCTTCGATAACCATTACTACAAAAATATTGTGTGATGAGCATAATATGAATCTATCCATAAAATTATAACATGTATTGTTTACGAAACAAAAGCTCATTTATGTTATTATGTTACCTAGTTCTCGTAGGACCAGATAATGTTTCGTAATAATCATTATATAATTAACTAAAAGCATAAACGGTTTCAATATCTCAACCACTATACATTTTCTACTTAATTTTGAGTACTTCTCTGATGTATTTATGGAGTCCAAGGTCCAATACCAATGAAATTAACAGCGGATTTGCCCTAAGGCCGAATAGGCCCGGGCCTAGGGCGGCCTCATATTAGGAGCGGCCAATCGTCACAGAAAATTCACTGATGATAACAAGATATATGATGGGAGCTTAGAAAGGGGCGGCTGGAACTTGCATGGGCTGGGGTCTAGGGCGGCCATGATTACAAATCCGCCACTGATTCCACTCAAGAGCATCATTCCGTTTCAGCACTACCCTTTGTACAGAGAGTCGGACAGCGTGTGCACTGAGCCCGACGCGGCGCCCTTGCCCCAGAGGCGGAACCTGTTCGAGCAGCGGCGGGACTGCCTCTCCAGGGAGTCCACGGAGTACCTGGTGGAGAGCCTCCGCCCCAGGGCCGCTTTCGGCGCGCACACGCACCACAGCTGCCTGGTGAGGCACAGCTTCGCGCCGACGCGGCACCACAAGGTCGAGTTCGTCGAGTACACGGTGCCTTCGTTCTCCTGGCGAAACCGACTCGACCCGAAGTACTATTTGGTATGCACCTTTTGTTGTGTTTTGACATTTTACCCCGTTAATGTTATTTTGTATGCCCTTTTAAATTTGATTTACGCCCGTTTTCTGAAACACTGATCATCGTGGAAGTCAACTGATCAGATGTCGAATGGCTTTTCATATGTCATTTGTGCTGCCAAAAGGATGGTTAAACTCTTTGAATTGATCATGCTGATCATTAAGAAGATCATCCTGATGAATTCAGAGAGCTTAATCATACTTTTGGCTACTTAAATGACATTTGAAAAGCCATTTGACAGCTGATCAGTTAACTTCTAGAATGATCAGTGTTTTAGAAACCGGGCGTTAATGTCATTAATAATAATATTAAGATTCAGGGTCACGCAACACTGTTGCACGAATGAGCAGGTCCGTCCGTATAAGTACCACGACATTACAGAAGACCGGCGTTAAGTGGAAGTATTATATATTATACTTCTGCGTTTCGTCTGGTGATTGAGGCAGCCGGGGCCCGTTTTATTTTAAAGTGGCAACGCATTTGCAACCCTACGGGTGTTGTGAAATGTCCATGGGCTACGGTTATCACATAACATCCGGTGAACTGCCAGCTCGTTTGCCACTTTCTAACATAAAAAAAAATATTTTTTTTAATGTGAAGTCAGTTTATAAGATCAGATTCTCGAGTACTGTATCGGAACGTCTTAAATATTATCGTTGCGGCCTAATCAAATGGAGATAACGCATGCTTGAATCACAAAAAGCCATTTATGCATGTACGCACACGAACTTGGTTTGGACCAGTTTTAAATTGATTACTCATAAGTACCTAACACCTAACTGACCTTCGCAAATGCTTTGCGAAGGTCACACTGAGTTTTTTATAAAGTATTATGTTTATATAAATATAAATATAATCATAAACAAATATAACAATACAAATAATGTAACAATATAAATAAAATAATATGTAACATTTTGTACCATCTGTTTTTCTGTTGCGTACAGATGGTTAGTTAGAGATGGTTTTGTAGCTTTCTAGGTCACTGCAGTAAAATTGTTTTTTAAACTAATTTAGCTATAGCGTCGTGATGAATGCAATTAGATAGTGCAAAAAATCATTGGTTAAAGTAGAGTTATTTTTAAATGGTAAATCACTTAAGTCCGAAAGAATCCGATTTATTCAGTTTTCACTTGCACCGTGTCTTGCGGTGAACCGTTATTTCTCGCTGGCGCAGTTAACTAAACTTAAACAGGGAAACTTATATAAGAGTGTCTATTTAATATTAAAATGGAGGAAGCACCGGTCTCGAATCAGTCAAAATATTGCAATAACTATTGTTTTAATAAAAAGAAAACAGGAGAAAGGAATAGTGTCTAGTAGGCGGCATATTTGAAAGTTTCTATAGACCTCGCCCGTTTAGGGGCTTTAGTTGTAGTCCCCTTTGCATCCGAGGCTCAAAATTTTGGTCTAGTATCTGTATTCGTTTAAAGTTACACTTGTTTTGCTGTGTTTGAGAAAAAGGATGAGTGAATTTTTACGATGCGCGACACTGAAAAGCGAAAACAACTTTATGGTGTTACCATGGCAACGAATACCAACTTTTTGACATTTATCTATAATTCCAAGTTATTTAATTGAACCGTTATCGATTTTGCATTTATTGATTGAATGATATTTGTTCAAAAATAAAGGGTACAAGAGGACCACGGGATATATTTTTAGTTATTTTTCTTTTGTTACGCTAAAAAAGTATAACTTCTTACGTGCGTACATAAGTAAACACACGTTTTTTTATATCGATGACGTTGTCATTTTTGCTTTAGTCTTTTTTCTCTTAAGGTAAACGTGCTCAGACGATTCCACCATCAGCCGAAGGTCGGTTAAGATATTTTTTTGATCGGTTTATGTTCCCAACTTTAGTAGCATTGACTTTGTTTGACTTCATCGATATCGTGTCTTTTCGAAATGATGACATTCGCGTGAGACAATTTAGTGACTTGCGCTGAAACAGTTTGATAAACTAATCAGGCCAAATGATTAATGGGACCTTTTGCATTATTGCGACTTGGAAGTAATTTTATTTTAGTAGGTAAGCACTTAAACAATCCAATTTGAAGGATTACGACGAAGCAGCGAGGAATGGATTCGCTAAATTCTACCTAGTTTGTTTTCTATCTCTCTGCTTGTCTGTATGATAAAGTTTTTACTCAATCCTATGTGGTAAAGAATTGTCTCAAAATGGTTAGTTCCAAAGCAGCGAACTGTAATAATTAGAAAGATTGTACTTTATGTAAATTTAAAACGTGATTTACTTTCACTGAATTCGAATATCCCAAGGTCCTTTTGCGGTCATAAATCAAATTGTTATTTGCAATTGCATCACGTGATCGATAGCAAAGGAATAACGTCAGTAGGAAAGCAGGGTTGTCTGAGAATGATCTAAATAATATATTTGAACATAATGTGCCTAGGATGTAAACATGCACTCCTCGCCGGACAACCCTCGGCGTGTTGTTCAAAATATCTATTTACTATTAATTTATCGGCGTGGCAACATACTTCATCATTGTGTCCGTTTAATCACGACGCATGGGTCACAAACAGCACGCTTGTTGGACAGCTGACGTTGAGCCCGGACGAAGTGAAAGTTGCGAAATGCGGGATGCCTCGCGAACGGACGATGCAGGTCACGGCGATAGCGATGTTGCTAGCCCTCCTTATCTACGCTAAGTACTGCGGACCGCGCCCCACCGCCTCCAACTACAAGCTGTGAGTATTCTCTTTGTTGTCTTTCCCTTTATCCCGTCGATGTACTATCGGCGACACAAAGGGACCTCACCAGCTCTCCTAGGTCTGCTCCGTGTTTGGTTTTGGTGTTAAAGGAAAACTAAGTTGCCTCGGCTTTGTGAGGGGATACAAGTCTAATGCGTATCTATCGCACGCGTCATCTAAAGCATCTGCGGACGTTGTTTGGGGAAAATCAATTTTAAATGCATGATGCATGTTAATTTAGCATGTTGCATATTAAAATATATGACAATCCGCTTATATACTTTATTTTAGCGCAAAAACCATTGTATACAAATATTAGCTTTTCAGCTTTTTTTCTTTTGAATTCTTGTCACATCGTAAAATTTTTAAAGGGAGATCGTCAAGTAAATAAAATACTGTTACTTAACTAAAACAACATTATTTTTATTTATTTTTGATTACTTGGTAGTACGTTCATGATTATAATGTTTCCTTCGGATATCATCATCATCTCGTAAGTAAGTGTAAGTGATGAAAAAATTTATAATAATATGACATAAAACTTATATTTATTACGAGAGTACTAGAAATCACAAACAAGCCCAACGCGCCGTTTATCTATATCTAAAAATTATCATTAATTTTTAGATATAGATAACTCAAACGAACCACGCGCAAGCAGAAAAGGCAATACAACAAGTCATTTTTTTATTAAAGAAAAATAAACCTGACTTCATATACCTCGCACTGTATTCATTTTATAATTGATTTTCAGGAGGTCCCGACGTATCTCCGCAGTCCAAGATCCAATACCAACAATATTAATATGGGACCATTTGGGAAGCACTAGTTTTCAAATAAAAAAAAGTATCACCAAAATCGGTTCTCTCAATATAACATAAAAATAATACAGTCGAATTGAGAACCCCTTCCATTTTTGAAGTCGGTCGAAAACGATTCATTATAAGTTTTCATGAACCGACGATTGTTCATACTGATGACAAAGTAATCGGTCTTTTATTTAATTAACATATTTTAAAATTACATTCTCAATTTCTCATACACTTTAATTGATTTTTATTTATGCAATCGATTTAATCATTAATCGTAATATGTGCACTATTTTTTAATGTTATTTTTCCTTATTTATTTTTAACCTTTACTGTTATTGTATAGCCATTTTAGTTTTTTTTTTATATTTTCCCCATACCGAAGTCCTATGCCCTTGTAGCACATTGTTATGTTTCGCCGTTAATTGAACGATCTTAGTTGTACTGCTTGTCATGCATTCAATCATTTAACATTCATCCGTGTATTATTTCAAGTGTAATATCGTTATGTTAACTATACTGTCTCATATTTCAATCCCTGCCTAATGACGTCATCGTGTGTTTATCACGCTGCCAAGTAGCGAAAACAATCTCGATGGGTAAATTTTTGCTTATGAAATAATATACCTCCCTTACTGGTTGTTCTACTCGCCTTAAACGGTGCGTTTACGTCAATTGGAGAACGATGACGTACGACTTAATATAGAAACACTTATTTACTCCTTCGTTTCACTCTCAAAACTTAAAACATTGTCATTTCGTAACATTTGTTCTAGAAAAAATACAGAAAGGTTAGTCTATACCATTCATAATGGTATATGTTTCCATCTTAATCTATTAAAATCTTTGTGGATCTGCTATTTCACAAGCAAATACAGAACCAGAATACATTTAGGTATTTGTCGACTCACAAAATTTTGCCATCGCAATTCTAGCTGCGACATGCGTAGTCTGCGCATGCAAATTTTTAATGCATGTAAAAAAGATGTCGGAGCAAATTTTGTAATGTAATTTTATGGTAAAAATTCTCCAAATAGCAATTTTTTTGTAGAAACGCGACAATCTTCGAATCTTCAGAAAATTTACTTATCTTCTCAAACTTTTATTGTAAATTCATAAACAAATAGAAAATCATTAAACAGATAAACATCCGAATAACTGTTATCTAAGAATTATGAATAGTAATAGATCTAAAATGGAAAAAGTTGCAAATACGTTGAAAAATTAATGATTTCCGTAATTTTTTTGTTTCTACGCACTTTCTAGTAAGTATTAACCTCCAATCGTGATCTCCTATCATATTTTCGTCTTACTGTTCTTGATAACGTCAGTCAAAGTCCATCGCATCTTTGTGTGAAAACATTCTCTTTGCTCTTCTTAATAGGCATATATTATTTAAATTGGTTAAAGTGAGTGTAGCATATGAAGTTTAAAGGACATTCTGCAACCAAAGAGAGAAGTTTCATTAACATTGAGTTATTTTATTAAAATCAACATTGTTCATGGTTTTTTTCTTTTTTTTGTGTTTCGACGACAACACAAACGATAGTTTTGTGTTTAGATAAGTTGGGGAAAAAGTTTTTAAAGATTGGAAACGTACAAAATTTCGATCGAGATCTTTTACAAATTTTTCCATGGTGCCCAATTTTACGTGAGACACTCGGAATGTTTCGAGAACCTAAAAAACTAACTTATATGGATAAAATATTTTCATTAAATCTTTTCAAAGAACTCTTCAACAGCCTTTATACAAAGTTCCATACGTTTGAACCGATTTTCGAAGCACTTTTTCCAGTCCGCCGCAGACACCTCTTCTGCGGCCTTCTCAAACGCTTCCAGTCAGTTAGCAGTCTTCCGGCGATGTAAGCTCAGTCATTTTTAACCGACTTCAAAAAAGGAGGAGGTTTCTCAATTCGATTTTTATTTTTTTTATGTGTGTTCGTGGATAACTTCGTCGCTTATGAACCGATTTTGATGATTCTTTTTTTGTTGGAAAGGAGATATCCCAAGGGTGGTACCATGATAAGGAATCCCAGATTTGATGATAGCATCCCAGAGAAATCGAGGGCCATCGTTAAATGTTATATGTATTAACAATGTTTTTAATTTTCTGATTGAAGTCGGTTTTTTTTGTTAAAAATTATTTTATTTTAGCGAATTAAAAGAAGCCACACGATGCTTGATCAGAACTGTAAGGGGGTGACCTAAGACCTTGCCCGGTGAGGTGGTCTAGAAAGTCCTTGGATTTGAGTGCTGAGTGGGCTGTTCGGGCGCTTGTGGCTAATTGCAGTACAAACTTCGGGCAATCATTTTGTAGTAAACCATTCGGCGTTGATTTCGTAATGTAATTGATATCAGATACCCAGTCAAAGTGAAGAGACAAGTGATCCAAATTTTCCCTGCGCTTCATTCACCTTCATTCACTTCATTTCACCTTCTCTTCTTTTGGTCTTTTTTTTTAAAAAGGGCCAACAACAACAAAACAACTTTTTTTCGCAAAACTGTCTGAGTGGCCTGGTGTATGCAACGGTGGCACCAATATTTATCTCGTTTGAGACGTATATCTTGTAGTTAATGGACTTTTTCTGCACTACTGTCCCATATAGCAAAGATAACAAGGGTATTTAGTATACTCGCCTATCTCATCAGAAAATAAATCGATTACTGGCAGGCTAATATAATTTAATTTTTCTGGCACCATTTTCCTACTGTTGTTTTTATCTTTTTGAATTACCTCAGTCTACCATAGAATGATTCGGTATCATTATATGGATTTATTTTTAATTATATATTTTATAATTTTTCACTGATAACTATCAGTGAAAAATTGCCAGTCTGAAAGTATACATATACAACTCCGGTTTATTCGAAATACACCATTCAAATCATTGCAGTAACAAAATCAGTATTTTTAAAGGGATACATACAAATACAAATTTTTATTACGTTTTCTTTGAGCAGTTGGCAAGCAGATTCCAGTTTCAATCATGAGCCTAGAATTTCTGCTTAACTTTTTTTAAACTTTGTACTACTTTGTTTTTTCTTTCAAAGCTTTGCTCGTATTTGCCTTGCATATATTGATTTGATAAACGTAGAATCGTTTATTATGAATTAAAACAGTAGAATCAGAATAAATTAATTAACACGTTAATTAATGTAAATAAAATTGGAGTGAAATGTAAGCTAAGCCTTATATTGGCCTTAAATTATCTGGAAGATGATTTCAAGGTAAAATAAAATAATTAGCCATAGAGCCGTCTTTTAAAGCATAGAGTTTGTTTTTTTTTTAAATTAAATTTAACTGTTTTATTGTATTAAGTAAACTCTTTACATAAATGTATCCGCCATATAAAATGCATATACCCTTATCGTAGCTTGCCAATAATGGAGTCAGTGTCAAATGATTGACCTATATCATTTAATAAAAGTTAGGAAACCGCTGTTTAAACCAGTTATAATCGGAAAAGTAGATTGGTAGAACATATCGTAAATGATATCACTGCAAGGTCTTATGGAGAGAAAAGCTATTGGATACTTAATATATTAAGCACAATGTCATGTTTAATTAGTTATATTTTTAATTAGTATATTATATATATTATATTGATTTTAAACCAATTTTTTGACTAGCTAGATAATCTCTACCTCATCAAGAAGTATATAATGAAAACAATAAAATGAAAACAATTATTTAACCTAACCATAAAATGGTTAAACCATAAATAAGTATTGTACTGCAAATGCACAAAAACTAGAAGTATAAAATAATTCCATAAGGCCTCGGATTAAAAAACCCATGCAGGTTACAAACCTCTACGTTTTAAGGACAATCTGTAGATTGTCCTTAAAATGTATAATAGCGGACCACTCGTACAAACTAAAACGAAACACTCAAACCCGGTGTCAGAATGATCTTCTTAATGATTAGAATGATCAATTCAAAGAGTTTAACCATCCTTCTGGGAACTTAAATAACATTTGAAAAGCCATTTGCCAAATGATTAGTTGACTTCTACGAAGATCAGAAATCATGAAAGAGATTAATTAGTTGACATTGGACCAAAATTAATAATTAATGTGTAAGCTTTCAGTTCTCATTCACACCTACTTTCTTTACTCTTCAAATAGATATTGCATACGCCACAAGTTTATAGTTTGGTTAAATTTCCGTGCGGTCGACTGAATTTATTACAATCATACTTTTTCCTAGGTCTCTTTAGGTAATTTATAAAACAATACAAATACTTATTCGGCTTTGAATATGAAGTTCCTATATTCTATTTCCTTTCTTAATAATAACAAGAAAATTCTTTAACTAAAGTAAAATTCTTGCTACCTTCTTCTATTGAAATGGTAAATTCTCGCGACCTCGTTAGTCAGAGGCCACTGGAGTTTACTTTAAGCTTCTTTTTTTCAAGGTTAGATTTCAGGGTTTTGAGAAAAGTGCCGTAATCAAGAGGTACCAACAAGTTGTAATTCGTCGAAGTGGGCCTTATAAAAAAACGTTGGATTTGTTGTTGGTTCTACTAAAATGCAAATGCCACAGTTTGCACTGATTATTTAATTATATTTATTTTTCTTTTTCAGAAGCGGAAAAAAGGTGTGAACGAACGCACGAAAATGTGTCCATTGTAGATCTTGGCAGTGGATTTAGTGTTGTTACCTACACGATAAGAGATCGCTCCCAAATGCAATAAAAGTTTTTAGAATTAAAAATAATGCTTTGGTCGGATTGAAATTACTACTTGTATTACTTAACTGCTTTGTGTTTTGTCGTGACGAATGTGTTTACAATTAGGCATTGAGTTCCATAAAAAGTATTAATTTATTTTATGATTAAATGTAAAACGTTAACGAACCATTGTTTCATTTGAAAAAATCTGAAACAGTATGATGATAGTAAAATATATCTATAAATTATTTTATATCGAATAATTCAGTGGATGTAAAATAACAATTCGTCCATTGAATAATAAAGCATTTATTTAAATAAATACAAAAATATTAGGAACCTACCGTTCCATCACGTTAACGCACTTGAAACGTTTAAAAGCTAAACATCAGTTTAATACTGAAATGATAGACATGAAAAATGCAAAACATCGAAATAAATGCAAAAACATATCCGTTAAAATACGGTAATGAATTAATACTTTGAAGTATTTCTTACGGAATAAATATGTACATAATTATTCCTTCACAGAACTGAACACATTAAAAACTGGAAGGATGAAAATACGCCTTAATTACTGATACAAAAGTACATAATTTCTAATTAAAACAGTTACCTATAGAAAAGTCATTGCCTCCCAAAAATATCTGGAGAAATTCCAGTTAATATATTCTTATCTCTAATATAAATAAAATGATTAAATAAAACGTTAAACTTTGTCTATCATTCGGGTATATCACTAAGCCGCATGCCGCCCGGTCGGCGGTACATTCGCTCTTGCATCGGTAGCTCACCAACCAAGAAACGCTCTAGAGCTTTTGCGGCCATTTTTGAATGACCAGAACTCCTGAAAGCTGTACTGGCGTCCCTCCCTGCATACTCCAGCATTATATCTGCACCACCGGGATGCTAAAACAATACAAAAAAGTATTATTAGCGTGTAATTGGTTTCTGATTGGTTTCTAGGCCATGTGATAGGTTACTTCTACGGTCATTGATCGCCAAACTGACTACACGAAATAGATAAGACAATAAATTCTAGAAACAAAACGGCGGCTCACCTCATCGAGGAAAGTAGAAATATCGTAAACGCGGTCGTATATGACGACCCAGCAGTCTTGGGGAGTGTCGTGTTGGGACACTTCGGCTAAGGTCAAGATGCGATCCTTTGCTTCCGGTGTCCCTGGTTCGATGCGAGCTTGCCATTGGTTTTGCTTGCTCTCTAGACTCCAAGGGTTAACGAAGCGGAGGGCGGCCATCGTCAGCGCCATTAAATCCAAGTCCGATGAATTTTGACGCACTGGTAACGGCGGTGATGCTAGTTTCAGCTCGGGTGGCGTTTGAATAGTAGCCATTATGTCAAGGTAAAAGTTGAATGTAATTTACGATAACTGGACTCTTCAATCTCCTTCCAATGCCGCTTAAAGATAGGGTAGGTCTGTAGGCACACTGCTACAGTGAAGCGCTCAGACGGCTAGTAGTTATCTGCAAAGACATTACAAGTGGTTAGGTTAAATAGGTGGTTTAGGTTAAATATATAGTTTTAGTTAAATAGGTTAGGTTAAATTCGCACAGTCGTCTTCACATACTTTGTAACATTTGATAGAAGTCTTGAAAGGTATAACGTAAAGCTCATTAGAGATTAGACTTTTACCCATTGTTAAAAGCAGCTTGAGGCGGCACTTAATTTTTCAAACGAAATATATCCCAAATTAATCACTTGTACGCACCGCTTTATCAGTTGTACGCACAAGTTGAACTTTAATTTAAACTTGCAAATTAATACAATTCCTGGTGCGTTATCACTGGTTGACGTAAACGAAGTATCAAAAAAGATAATTTGATGACACTCACTGACCTCACATTTGTTCGGTTGTTAAACTAATATTGAATAGAAATCGTAAATGATATAAATTTGCGTACTTATTTTTTGAAAAGAATTTAGATAGTAATTATGTTAGGGTCCAGCTTAAGGCCGATATTTATATAAACAAGCTACGTTTAAGTGCGTGTACATAATATGAGGTCAATAATCAATCGGATCTAACAAAAACAAACAATATTTACCCTTTAATCAGAGCACTTGATAGAAGAAGCTCGTGTTATCTCTGCTGATGCTCGAAACGCGGGGAATGACTGTCACAACAATTGTCACTACGCCACCACTGTTCGTAATTGAAAGTACACGGGTTTATAGAATGATGCATGAGAGAGTAGAACATTGCCACAGGCTAATATTGACTTGACATCTATGACTTGTAATTTGTGAATGAGCGTGGTGGTTCCGCGCTGCTTCTTTTATAGGTGGTACGGCACGCGCCGCTAGATCTGATGTAACACGCGGCTTATCTTGCTCGAACGGTCGCGTTGCGCGCCGTCTAGCGCGCCTCCCATTGATTATTTGTTAGGCCTAAGGAAAAAATGTAATAAATTTGCGTCACTAAATATAAGAAGTAATTTACAAAAGAAAAGTATGTTTATCTGTTATCTACTACCTTTAGTACAAGAATTGCTTAGTTTGGGACTAGAGAACGTTGTGTAAAAATGTGTCCTTAAAAATAGGTACTTATTTAGAAAAAAAATATATATATTTTCTTTTTTCAACAATGTATACATACTACTGCTTGCGGCAAATACTTAAGTTTTTATTTGGTTTGAATCTGGCCCGAATGGTTTATTCATTTCGTCAGGTTTGTTATTCGCCACGATATTATTTATCTATTAGACTTTATTTTGACTGGTTCGGCATGGCAAAGGTTCTAGGTAAAATTTTACTCTTGGACGATTGTGTGGGGTTTGAATCCACACCACCACAGCGTGCACATTGAATGGTCCGTTGCGTATATCAGGTTTTTACAAGCTTGCCCCGTATCAGTTTTCGGAAACATATCTCACAAGAAATTATTTGTTATCATATAATAGTGTTGAAATAAAATTGTTACCTTCATCAGTATTATTTCATTAAAGAATGTAGGTTAGTGTTTTTCACCTCACGCAAAAACAATTTTTTTCATCGAGGTTGATGGAAAAACAGTTTTTCTATAATAATAAGGGAGAGTAAACAAGTTAGTAGTTTTCTACTAACTACTACTTAATTAAAAAATGTTAATATTTTTCGATGTACCTATGTTTTATCAATTACAACTGATATATTTTATAGTTGCAGTAATTGAAAATTTGCTTTCTTCTATCAATTGAGGAAAACAAGATAAGCAAAACTAACTTAGGAACGACGTAAGTATACGAAATGCGTGACCATGCATGAAAAACAAAATACGTACGTCAAATGTTTTCTCGTAAATCGATCAAAATATACGCATAATGCTAATAATAATATATTGACGTCATCATAATTTTTTCATCATTGTTTATAGTATTAAATTTTTATACATACTATTTCGTAAAATAGATCCAATTTCGTCAGTGGTTAGTTCCCTAGATTTTTTTCAGCGAATTGTATAGAGGCTTTTACCCTAATTTGTTACATTATTGAGCTTTAAATGTTGCACGCATTACCTATAAATTATTGTCTCATGCGCTTAGCTTACTGCATTGTAAAAAAATTACATAACCGAATTGAACCAGACATTTGTGTCCTTAGAATTTACCCGGTAATGTGTACGACTGTGAAACATTAGTTTTTATATTAACTATAATATACCATATTCTGAATATTGTGACAGGTTTTCGTTTGGTTGATTTAAGTAAACTTGTGACCGACGATGTTTTTTATGTTCCTAGTGACTGATCGAAGTTAATCAAATCAAATCATTTATTCATCGAAGTAAGAAATATGCATTTAATCTTAATATAACAAAACCATCCATAAAAATTAGTTATAGCGTATGGGATGCCATATTTTTTTTATTAATGTTTTTCGTAATTTAAAATATTGTGATATACCTATACTGCCACTACTAAATTTGCCAGTGGGAATGAAATAACGATAAAGCCATGGCCAATGTTCAAATCATCCACTGACGTACAAATATTGCGTATCGTTTATTAACTTATTTATAAAACATTGTGATAACTTGTCCACACCTTTTCGAACAATATTGTTTTAAAGTTTATGGTTATTTTATTCGTCATCATTACATTATTTAATATACCTATACAGCGTGTCGTTACCATCGCGACAATAAATGAACATACGTCTAACGCCATACTTGCCAGTAATCATAAAAAAATATTAACGTTAAACAAAATCCATAATTAAAAAAAATATATTTTTCAAACAAACTGATTAAGTAAAAAAGAAACAAAATTTGTAACATCCTATACAACTCGCGCCACAGAGTCGCATTACAAGCCTCTCCTTCTAACAGTATGTTTTGTCTCATTTAAATTCATTCAACCCATTCATATGCTTTGTGACCTTTACTAATGAACTTTACGTTACAGTTTCATACGTAAGGGAGTTCTAAAATTGTTTGTTTTGGAAAATTTAATAACTCGGTAAATATTGATGTTTAAAGAATGTAAACTTTTAATACAATTTTAAAAAGTTATCCTCTATATGTGTGTTCATTTATTGTCGCGGTGGTAACGACACGCTGTATATTTCTGTTTATCAATATCGTCGTAATGTATGCCGAGCTCTGTGGTTAGTGGATCCTTGCAGATTTAGTGTCCTGAACACTCTTAGTAATGTGATATGTTAAGATTTTATTCAAAGATCAGATATTTATTACTGTTCCGACCTTACGCTAAATCTTTGACGGACTTCGAATATCAAGTTCCTATTAAGTACATGAAAATGGCACCTTCCTTACATTTACAATAAGTTACCGCTGCCCAAGACATCTGCTCTAAACGGTTACTTGGAAAAATCAAAAGTTACATGCTCATGAATTATATCCTAGTCAACAATCAGTCCATAGTAAACTATGGACTGATTCTTCATCACAATTAGGAGCGTTGGACAACAAAGGCATTATGAAACGAGAGTTCTGATAAAAAAAAACAACTATTCCACCAGGATTTTATTGCTTAAAGATTTTCTTTAATCATTTTTATTACTATTTATCGTGGCTAAGAACGATTGCGATTAATAGTTATTTCTTCATGAAATCTCTTTTTTGTGGTTAACTGTTTTCATACTACAACTCTCTAACTGGAACTCTATTGAAAAGGAAAAGGTGAATGCGTCTTCCATATATTTTATTTTTACTCATTGTCTGTTTATTATATGTTTTAAACGAGAAAGTAAGTAATCAGCCATGCCATATCCATTATTTCATTATTACGGCCGGTTTCTATATCCTATCTATAGATAGACTTCGTTACTGGAGATAGAACTTTAAGATAAGTATTATAGAGGTAAAATCAAATATCTATCGCTTGTAACCAAATCTGTACATTGTATATTGACAATATCCATGTACACACCACACAATATACTACACACATTTTCCTTCGCTGCCATGCTTCGATGCCAGTCTCATAAAATGATTTTTCAAGGAGTAAAAAAGTGATTTACCGCAGCTGCTATTTTCCCTTTCGATGAGAATTTTTGCCAAACCTGGTTGGTGTTTTATAACATTTGAAACAGGTCAAAGTTCAACATTTTATATACCTACTTAAATTATTTTTATTCTGTTTTTTAGTATTTCTTGTTATAGCGGCAACAGAAATCATGTATCTGTCAGAAAAACATTATAATTTTAAAAATTTCAACTGTCTAACTATCCGGGTTCATGAGAGCCTGGTGACAGACGGGCAGACAGACAGCGGAGCGGAGTAATAGGGTTTTACCCTTTGGGGACGGACCCTAAAAATTACAAATACCACGAAGCCGTGCGAAGACGGGGCGGGTCGATAATTATGAATATTTAAATGATCGTGAAACCGCAAACTTTTTAATCCACCCGTGTACAAAAGAGGCGCTACTTTCCTTTCTTGGGCTTAATACTAATTTAAATTGGTAATGATGAAAACGTACGAGCTTTATGTAAATATTACTAAGAGTGGGTTGAAAATGCATTGAAATAAATAACATTATAAAATGCAACTTATTTTATCTCTTTTTGTTAGCAATATAAAAACAAAATTATACAAACATTAAAGTTTGTTATTAAAATCATAGTGATATGTTGTTGACAAGTGATAATAATTATTTAACACTAGTCGTCACGAGGAAGTTCCTAATGTATCTTTTTAATATAGGTAACCGTAATATTAATCGTCTTTAAAAGTATGAAGCAAAGAAAGCATTCAGAATGAATAATATGTTACTTAAGACGCAAATCTGCAACACATTCATTAGTGGTATTATTTTGATAAGTAAAATATAATTCTTTATCGTGTTCAAACCAGTTTAGTTCGGCTAAGGTCATGAAACTCTCATGACTAG